AGCAGACACAGTGGATGGAGCCCAACAGTATGACCAGGATCAAAATCACTGCCTCCCTAGTCATCAGACTGATCATTGGATGAGCAGAGAGGTGGCAATAGCTCCCCAGCTCAGTTGACCTGCATGGACCAGCTGGAGGGGGTGGGGCTGTGTACAGGCAAGGGTGTGTGATAGCCACACCCACAGCTGGCATGCATTTTCAGAGGGTTGGACATAACTGAATGCAGGTTAGCCACTCCTGTTCTAGATAATCAGGCATTCCAATGCGTATCAGACATTTAAGATTATATACCTAATACAGTATGCTTCTCTGATGTAGCAAACTGGGATTGCATATTTAGCAAAAAAGATGAAAGACCCTAAGGCTTTTGGTGGGTCTGTGTGTGTGTGTGTGTGTGTGTGTGTGTGTGTGTAAGCTATAGGAGCTGTGGAAATGAATGGGGATGCTAACCTTGCAAAATGGCCGAGTAGCAGTGGCAAAGGCAGTTCACACAGATAGCTGCCTTTCAGGTGAGTTAAGAAATTGTCTGGCCTCTCTTGCAAATTTCATTAGGCCATTTTTGGATTAATGCAAATGATTGGATTTGTTACCCACCAGGCTGGCCTCTGGGGATTCAGGGAAAGCTGCCGTTTCTTCCACAAGAATTGCTGCTTTCACTTTGGCAGCAGTGAATCCAGATTTATGGTATTCCATTACGGAGGAATGCATTAAACTCTGCAACTGTCACCGCCACCTTGATGTCAACGGAAGTGCACTGCCTAGCTTTGCTGACTTGATTGATGAAAGAGAGTATATCACGCTAACCTCTCTCTCTCTCTCTCTCACACACACACACACACACAGAGAGAGAGAGAGAGAGAGAGAGAGAGAGAGAGAGATAAGTAAGGCAAGTAGCCTGGACCCCCAGCTCAAAGCAAGCTCAGTTTTGCACTCTTGGCTAATTTTCCTGCATTATGGGTCACCAGCCCCCAAAACCCCACCTCTGCAAATGAGTTTCTGGTTTGGAATGCAAGCTTTTTTTACATTGATCCAGCTTGAGCGACAAACCATAACCTGGAACAATTTGGATCCAGTAATAACGACAAATTTCAAGTCAACTGCCCATGCTACAACGTCCCATGCCATCATCCCAATGGCCATTTCTCCTCTCATTATTCATTCATCTTTCCCAGGCTAAAAGCTACAAACAACAACAACAACAATTTATTATACCCTGCCCATCTGGCCGGGCCTCCTCAACCACTTTGGACAGCTCCCAACAGAATATTAAAAACACGATAAAACATAAAACATTAAAAACTTCCCTAAACAGGGAAAGTCAGGTAAAAAGTCAGGTAGTTGTTTATTTCCTTGACATTTGATGGGAGGGCGTTCCACAGGGCGGGCGCCACCACCGAGAAAGCCCTTTGCCTGGTTCCCTGTAACCTCACTTCCTGCAGTGAAGGAACCACCAGAAGGCCCTCGGCACTGGACCTCAGGTCCGGGCTGAACGATGGGGGTGGAGACACTCATTCAGGTATACTGAGACGAGGCTGCTTAGGGCTTTAAAGGTCAGCACCAACACTTTGAATTGTGCTCGCAAACATACTAGGAGCCAATGTAGGTCTTTCAGGAGCAGTGTTATGTGGTCTCGGCAGCCAGTCCCAGTCACCAGTCTAGCTGCCGCATTCTGGATTAATTGTAGTTTTTGGGTCACCTTCAAAGTTAGCAAACAAAACAATCAACCAACCAACCAACCAATCAACCAACCAACCAGACAACAGTTTGGCAGTCTAGGAAAACCCATTCTCACTGGATGAACACACATGCTGCCTCCATTGAAACTGATGGGGAAGCTATTGTGTATGGGGAGCTCTTTATTAACATGATGCATCACTTTTCTGTCTCATCAGAAAGAGAATTCACAATTCAACCTTCTTTGCAGTTGTTGCTTACCATTTATCTCAAAAGCCAGCCCCAGACTCTTGCTTTATACAGGCCTTTCCTGAAACAATTCGTTCAGGCAGAGTGGGTGAGGGCATCTTATTTTGCTAAGCTCTCAGCTTTAAGGATCGTCCATAGGGAAGCAGCTCATGCTCCTGGTTGGGTTGCCATAGCCCACAACTGGCAGGTGATACCCCTGAGAAAGGAGCCTTTGCTCCTGGAGCATCGCTGTTCAGACTAGCTATCTCAAGCTGGTCCATCCATGCTCCTTGTCACCTTGTGGACAAGGCAATAGGATTGTTTGTATGCCCTTGGTACAGATGCACATCATGATGGCATCCATCCCTGAGAGCTAGTGTGATTAGTTGCCAGAGGGTTGAACAAGGAAGAACAGCCTTCAGAACCCTGATCAGTTATGAACTGACAAATCACCATTTCTCAGTGTAGCCCATCTGACAAAGGGTGTGTGAGGGTGATGGGGCAAACCTTGCACATTCCACTCCATTCCACACCTTGGAGGATATAAAAAACCCAAGTACATCTGAAGGAACTGCCCACTGCTTGCACAAAGTGCTCTATGAAGTGCACAGCATTCTTTTTCCATTTTTATTGGGGCATTGTCCTTGTAGACCAGGGGTCAGCAAACTTTTTCAGCAGATGGCTGGTCCACTGTCCCTCAGACCTTGTGGGGGGCCGGACTATATTTTGAAAAAAACACACATATGAACAAATTCCTATACCCCACAAATAACCCAGAGATGCATTTTAAATAAAAGCACACATTCTACTCATGTAAAAACACGCTGATTCCCAGACTGTCCGCAGGCCAGATTGAGAAGGCGATGGGGCCAGATCCAGCCCCCGGGCCTTAGTTTGCCTACCCATGTAGTAGACCTAATTCACAAGCCTTCACTAATAGGCTATCTGAAAACAGATGCAGTCAATGAACGAAGTGGTGGGACATGGCTGTTCTCTTCCTGCATGTGTTAGAACAATATTGCATGTAGCGTTGTTCACCCTGCAAAAAAAAAAAAAAAAAAAAGTCTGGTTTGTGGCAATGGATCTATCAACTTTCCTTGAAAGAATAAAGTAGAAGCAAATACTTGACACTTAAGCTGTTTGTTTCTAAATAGTCTATACATTTTGCCTTCAGTTTCAATTTGTGTGAAGATTCCCATGAGCTCAGCGGTATCATTTGCTTGCTTGCTGCATGGAAAGATTAAATAATGGCTTTAGAAACAGAGATTAAGAGAGAGAGCTGATGCACTGATGCTCCTCCAAATTCAACTATCTTACTAGAGAGGATTTGCCATGTGGAATGAATTTGCTTATCTAGTGAAGTATTTACATGGCACCTCACCATGATATCTGAGTGCTGGAGAGTCTGAAAACACTGGATTCGGTTGTCTGCAGGGTAAAATGTGCAGCGAAATGTGATTTGTAGTGCTGTTGTGTAATTGATAATTATTAGATAACAATGGGAAAGCCATTTTGGCTGGCAGGCTTCCCTATTGACTATGGGGAAATGGTGAGACAACAGTTTTCAGTGGATGGAGTAAGGAACCTAAAAAGTGAGCTGAAGTGTGGTTCTGTATTGCAAAATGAAGATTTCCCACACTGTCTCCATTGCTAGCAATCTACAAGACTGAGTTTAAATTCTAAAGTTGTCCTTTCACAAATTTATAGAAATTATAGATTTAAAAAACCTGCTGCGTATTTTGTTATAAGCTGTCCTGAGGCACAGTTTGTAAATAAAACGTGCCTTCACTTTGCTCCATCTTTTGTGCATTGAGAAAACACATAGTTAGACCTCTTCCTCTTTGCAGAACTTGGCTTCTTTCCTTCTGAAGTCACTACACATTATCAGCACCCTCTCTCACAGCAGGAGGGAACCTGTGGCCCTCCAGATGTAATTGAAGTCCAACTCTCATGATCTCTGACCAGGAAGGGCTAATAGGAATTGTTGTTGTTGTTTAGTCATTTAGTCATGTCTGACTCTTCGTGACCCCATAGACCAGAGCACGCCAGGCACTCCTGCCTTCCACTGCCTCCCACAGTTTGGTCAGACTCATGTTAGTAACTTTGAGAACACTGTCCAACCATCTCGTCCTCTGTCGTCGCCTTCTCCTTGTGCCCTCCATCTTTCCCAACATCAGGGTCTTTTCCAGGGAGTCTTCTCTTCTCATGAGGTGGCCAAAGTATTGGAGCCTCAGCTTCACGATCTGTCCTTCCAGTGAGCACTCAGGGCTGATTTCCTTAAGAATGGATAGGTTTGATTTTCTTGCGGTCCATGGGACTCTCAAGAGTCTCCTCCAGCACCATAATTCAAAAGCATCAATTATTCGGCGATCAGCCTTCTTTATGGTCCAGCTCTCACTTCCATACATCACTGCTGGGAAAACCATAGCTTTAACTATATGGATTTTTGTTGGCAAGGTGATGTCTCTGCTTTTAAGATGCTGTCTAGGTTTGTCATCGCTTTTCTCCCAAGAAGCAGGCGTCTTTTAATTTTGTGACTGCTGTCACCATCTGCAGTGATCATGGAGCCCAAGAAGGTAAAATCTGTCACTGCCTCTATTTCTTCCCCTTCTATTTGCCAGGATGTGGTGGGACTAGTGGCCATGATCTTAGGGTTTTTTTTAATGTTGAGCTCAGACCATATTCTGCGCTCTCCTCTTTCACCCTCATTAATAGGAGTTAGTGTCCTACAACTTGGGGGGGGGGGGCTCTGGTTCCCCATCGCTTATCTATCAAATCACCAAAGGCATGCCTTTATGAAGTGAACGGCAGTAAAGAGCAATTAAGGAATGTGCCAAAGATTTTCAAGAGACAGTTCGGGTTTTAAATCAGTCAGAAGATACCAAGTTTGTCAAGCTACAAAGCCTTGCTATGGAGGCAATCTGATCTGTGCAACTCCCACTGATTTCAGCAGGGCTTACAGGGGGAGAATAGGAACATAGGAAGCTACCTTAGATCAAGTCAGACCAGTAGTCCATCTATCTTGGCGTTGTCAGTACTAACTGGCTGCAGCTCTCCAGGCTAGAGTTTCGGACAGGGGACATTCCCATCTGTTATCTGGAGAGGCCAGGGATTGAATCTGGGACTTTATGTACACAAAACAGATACTCTACTATTGAACTACCACTGCTTTCTGAGTTTTTCTCATTAACTTCCTGTTGAATTATATTCATAGTGAAGGGTCCATATAATCTGAGGTGGGGGCTTATACTCAGCATGGTAGGGTGGGGTGGAGGATGCACAGCTTACCCAGCTTCTCAACGTTGTGGGGTCACTGCCTGTTACCAAGAGGGAGAGGCAGTAGGTGGTGGGGAGGTCAGCGTGGTGAGAGCACTATGGTGGAACCAATCCAACGTTCCTGCTGCTTCACCTGCACTGCACCAGCCTCCTTGCTGCCTCGCCCCTCTCAGAAACAGGCAGGTACTCTAATATTGGGAAGTCAGGTAAGCAGTGTCTTGAGCACCAGCCACTACGGCTTCCAAATGTGCCCTGATCTATATCAAATCTAGTACAGCTTGAAGCCTTGTGTTCCCAGGACCAAAGCTATATCCTTTTACCCCTTTGGAGCAATGCAGTTGCAATTATAACAATTCATTATAACAATGTGATAACAGAAAGATACTAAAACAAAGGGAGTTTCCTTTGAATAAAAAGGGACCTCCAAGAGGATTTTTCCAAACTGGGTGAGTGAGCAGGACAATTGAAAATGCAGTTCAGTGCAAGCAATTGTAAAGTGATGCTCACTGGGGCAAACAATTGTAACCACATATATGTTAATGGCGTCTGCATTGACTGATCAGGAAAATGATCTTGAGTTGTGGTGGACAGTTCAATGGAGATGTTGACCCATCACACAGCAAATTGCATTCTAGGGATCATTAGGAAAGGGATTTAAAATAAAACTGCCAATAATGCCATTATACAAATCTGTGGTACGACCACACTTGAAATACTGTGTACAGTTCTTGTCACTGCACCTCCATGTTTTTTTCCTGAGAGCTGGAAAATGTACAGAAAAGGGCAACCAAAATCTTCAAGGAGCTTGAGCTGTGAGGAAAGGTTATACATTTGGGGCATTTAGTTTAGAAAAACAGTGAGTAAGGGGGTATCCGATAGAATTGTATAAAATTATGCCCAGGGTGAAGAAAAGGAATAAAAAAAATTATGCTTTAAATGTATGGTGTGGATGTTCTTGTACCAATTTAAACTGTCATGGCCTCACTCATATAATCCTTGGAATTACAGTTTGAGAAGAGTGCTGAGAATTGTTAGGAGACTCCTATTCCCCTCCCAGACTTACTCACTAGATCATCACCTTGTTGTGGTGAGTGGGCTTGCATGTTCCTCTGATCCTTGTGAGCGAAGCCGTCGGGAGTATCATACTCCCAGTAGGGTCATCCAAGGCAGTAAGGTCAAGGGAGAGGAGCTTGAAAAAGAATGATCCAAGAAGTCCTCAATGGCAGAACAGGCAAAAGATAACAAGTGGTATGTTTCAACAGTTGTGAAGGCGGATGAAGGCTGCAGCAGATAAGAATCTACTGTTCATCATGATACTCATGTCATCAGAATAGAGCTTTACTGTGAAGACTGTGCATTGGTCAACGTGCACTAATCTACACACATAAAACAAATCCATGCACTGGCGTCTTCCCAAACCCAAACCCAAGAAAGTCCCATGGCAATCGACAAATGGTAATAGGAGCAGGACCGTGAAATCTGGAAGCCCTTAGTCATAAACTGGTATATGGGCGGTGGATACAGATTCAGTCATTTTGACTCAAGGAATGAGGCAGTTGAGTAGCTTGGCAGCTGTACCCATGACTGAGCAGTCCTATTCAGGATCCACTCTGGTCAATCTTGAATAGGGGGAGGGGCTAGAAAAGGTGCCCTAAACATAGTCTGCCTTCCTTTTTCCCTGACTGGAATACCTCACCCAGTGGGGTTACCATCCAGCGGTCGTTAAAGACAATTGAACGTCCCCTCCCAGAGCTACCATTTCCAGAGTGCTCTCACAATCAATCCCACTTCAGAGGTAACTCTGGAAATTATAGCTCTCTGAGGCGTATCACTGTGCTTTAAATGTTTAGTGTCAGTGTGAACATAGAGGAGCCAGGCACTGAACCTTTGGTATGCACCCCTTGAGCTACTACATCATTCATCGCATGGCTTCAGCTGAAAATGTTTCAGCATTATTTGTTATGTGTTTCCATTCCCCCTTTTATTTGACACAGGATACTTGTTGCTTCTCCTAAAGCCCATTGACCGACAGTCGAGTTTCTTTTCATTTCTCTTGCTGAGACATAAACATAAGAGGCGTTGCTGCAGCATCAAGTCAAAATGACTAACACATAAACCTGGATCAATACATTACATTAACAAATTTATTGTTCCTATCCCCTGCTTAATTCCTCAAGTTCCATCACTAACATAAAATGCGAAGCGAACTATAGATTTCAGATGATAACTGAATTACAGCTGAATGCAGAAGAAACTTAGGCAACTGGTAAAAATCCAAAAGGCACTGTGGAGGTAGGGAAAATATTTATTAGGACTGGCTAAAATGTCACAAAGTAGCTTCAGGTTGGATATCCAGCAAAACGACACTGGGGTGAGAGAGAGAAGAACTGATCATACTGCTGTAGGCCCAAAGTCTGCTGTTTGAAACAGTCTTAAGATGGACTGCAGGGGGAATCAGAAGAACAGCAGAGTCCTATATGTGGGTGGTTACTGGCACCCGTTGTGATTGGTGGTACAGAAAGCAGAGGGGCCAGGGATAGGTGGAGCCAGGGCCAATCACAGACAGAGCCAACTAATTCTAGTTACTCATCCTAATTCTAGTCCTTGTCCTCCTCTCTGCTGAATTCTACAGCAGAGCAACACTGAAACAGAGCAGGAGGAAGTTGACAGACAGGGTCCCCCTCTAGACTAGTTGTAAGATGGTAGGGCAGTTGAGAGCTTGCTGAGGGCAGACTGAGGTTGGTAGGACAGCGTCCCTTTTGCCCTAATAAACCAGCCACAATGGCTGCATATTTCCACTCAGGAGTCACTCAATGGGGAGCATTATTAGGCTGCAAGCCTATTTGCAGTTAGCTGAAAGTAAGTCCTACTGATCTCAATGGGGTAACTTCTGAGTAGAGATATATTGGACTGCCCTAGTAGATTAGACTCTGTTAAGTGCAAACCTGAATTTCAGTTGCACTGAGGGCAGCTGGTGGAAAGGAACCATGATGCCAATAAGTCAAGGAGATAGTATGAACTGAATATATTGCCATGTAACAAACAACGTGGACTATGGCTGCAACCCTGTGCACAAGTGTCACCGAAAACAAAAAGCCGTCTTCTACTGAGTCAAAGCATTGCTCCTCCTTGTTCAGTATTGTCTAGACCAGTGTTTCCCAAACTTGGGTCTCCAGTTGTCGTTGGACTACAACTCCCATCATCCCTAGCTAGCAAGACCAGTGGTCGGGGATGATGCGAATTGTAGTCCAAAAAAAGAGCTGGAGACCCAAGTTTGGAAAACACTGGTCTAGACTGACTGGCAGCCGTTCTCCAGGGTTTCAAGCAGGGGTCTCTCCATTCCTTACCTGGAGATGTCAGGAATTGAACCTGAGACCTTCTGCATGACAAACAGTTGCACTACTATTGAGCCACAGCCCCTCCCCACCACTCAGGTATAGCTCTTCTCCGAACTCAGAGAGTCATCTAAATAAACATGCGTATTGTCTATGTTTGCCAAATCAGCAGGCTGACAAGTACAACACTATATCACCAAGGTATTCTACTCAACAACTAAAATATATTTTAGCATGGGATGATAAACATGTTGTTTGGTCAACATAAAATCTAGTAGTAAAAGCTACAATCAACTCAATAAAGTTTATGGAAATTGAGTTAGAAAGCATGCATATTTAACACTCAAGTATCTACTGGTTATATCCAAAATTGGCTTTTTTAATGCTGCAAATGTTTTCTGATGCCACCTAAATCGGTTATCTTAATTGCTATGCATATTTGTCAGGGGTTCAGGAGCAGAGGCACAGGAAAGGGAGGAAATAGAGAGCGAGGGGGAGGAGTCCGAAGGAAATGTTAGCGATGACAGCGGTCCGAGGTCTCTGAGTCTTTCCAGCGAATCGGAAGATTCACAGAAAGGGGCTCCCTTGGTCAGAGCAAGGGGGGTGCCGAGGGGGACACCCCCGGAAGAAGGGGCCAGAGGGGACTCAGAGAGCAGCAGTTGGAAATCAGGACCAGCGTCCACACCAGAGTGCAGTAGGGGGGAGGGGTCCCAGGCATCGGGATCAGGCGGCGCACTGCCAGTGGGAGGACATGAGTCAGGATTGGCCACGCCTCCATCGGGGAGCGAGGAAACGGTCGAGAGGAAGGTTGAAGGCTGGGCGCGCGCGCCAAGTTCAAATGTACAGGAGGGCGGCGCAGTTGGCAGCCCGGATAGGGAGCCAGGTCCCAAAGCCCGCCGAAAAGAGGGGGAGGAGTCAGGGGGTCAGCGTCAGAAGAATCCAGGAAGGAAGGGACCCCGGGGGGTAGCAGGACCCAGAGGAGAAAGGAGAGACGTAAGAGGTGGAGTAAGGCTAGAATCTTAAACTGGTGTACAGGGGCGGAGACTCAGATGGAGCTTCGCCGATCTAACCCCTAGACGTAGAGCTGGGGCGCTGCGGCTTGAAAATGGAAACTGTACTTCAATAAAGACTTTTGTACATTACTGCCGGCTAGCGTTGGTCCTCTGTGAGCTGGGACCTGGAGCCAGCTCTGACAGTAAGCTCCATCTCTAAAAGTTTTGCACCAAAAACCTCGTAACGTGAGTGGACGCAGCGAGGGAAGAAGATTGGTGCTTCGCGAGCTCACAAAAGTCAGGCAAGATGACTACAGAACAGCAACTAGCAGCCCTGCAAAATGCAGTGACACAACTCAACGCGGAGGTACTCGCATCCAGGAAAAGGGAAGAGGAAGCGGCTGCCGCCTGCAGGGATCTCCAGCCAGGTTGGAAGTGCTTGCTAAGCAGGGGCAACCGGGACCCAAATCAGAGGGGATTGGGCTGGGGAAAAGAGGAGGCAGCCTGGTATCTCATTTCGATGGGAATTTGCAGCAGTACCCTAACTTCCGAGCAGACGTGCTGTTTGCGCTGGAACTGCTGGATAAAGACTTTAGAGATGAGCAAGAGAAGGTGGGGTTTATCTTGTCCCATTTGCATGGGGAAGCTAAAGCGTGGCTGCGCAATCTGTGGAGAGATAAGGATCCGGCGCTCCAAAATGCGGATGCATTCATTAAAGCGATGGATTCGTGTTTTTATCAAATATAGACATTGATATCGCCAGAAAAGACATACATGGGCTCAAACAAGGCAGAGCCAGTGTAAGGCAGTACCATTCCCGCTTTTTGCATTAGTCCATGCGCTGGGATGGGAGAAGGATTCTGCCCCAGCCAGAGACCTTTTTGGGAAGGCTTGAATGCAAATGTGAAAGATGAGATTGCAAGGGGGGAGAGACCAAAGAGCACTCAGGAGGTTGTCCGGCGGGCGCTGCAAATTGGGGTGCGTCTGGAAGAACGTCCATGGAACAGAGAAGAAGGACGTTGGGGACGTACGCCAGTGAGAGCACCTCCCCTCTTTCCCAAGGATGCAGCGCGTGTGCAATCCCCACCTCCGCAAGGAGGGGGAGAGCAACCGATGGAGATTGGAGGCGCCAGGGCTCAGTCAGCAACCAGAGCCCTAACACCGGGAGCAGTCAAAGCGAAGCCTCCTAGAGGGAACAGGAAGTGCTACATCTGCGACAGTGCTCAGCACATGGCGAAAGAGTGTCCCCAGAGGCTCCACAAGCACACTGCAGCCTCAGCAACAGTAACAGACGCAACTCAGCAGAGAGAACCACAGCAGGGAAACGACAGAGTCTGGTTGGAGGAAGAGGCACTGGGGCCCAGCCAGACAAGTCAATGAAGCCGTCCCCAGAGATTTTGCAGCCCACAGACCCCCTCCCGCCCAAACCAGTGGTGCAGCTCACAGCATCGCTCCAACTACCCAATGGACTCACTATGGAAGTGCCGATTACCATTGACTCTGGTAGTAACGCAGACTTCATAGGACTGGATTTCATTCAAGAGCACAACATAGCACTCCTGCCAGCCACGCTGCCTCTGAAAGTTGTCACGGTGGATGGCAGGGAATTGCTGGGGGCAGGTGGTGCAGCAAACGCCTCCGATGGTGATGCAAATTGGGAATCACCGAGAAGTCATCAGCTTCAATGTCACCCAACTGTCGGACACGCCTATAGTATTAGGCATGAGTTGGCTGCACAGGCACAGCCCAGCATTGGCGTGGTACCAGCGACAACTGACCTTCGGCTCCTCATACTGTGCGGAACATTGCATTCTGCCTAGCCCGGAAGGGGAAGAGGATGACCCGCAGCTACAATTAGGCACGCTGCAAGCAGTGCCACTCAAGTACGCAGCGTTTTTGGAGGTTTTCTGCGAGAAGGAAGCGGACAAGCTACCTCCCCACAGGTCCTATGACTGCAAGATTGACCTCCTGCCAGGGCGACGCTGCCAACCGGGAAACTGTATTCCATGTCTGAAGACGAGCTGCAGGAACTCAGGGAGTTCATAGACCTCAACTTGAAGCGCGGTTTCATCCAGGAGTCGAAGGCAGTGGGGGCAGTCCTGTATTCTTTGTGAAGAAGAAGGACACGCCCCCAAAAAGGCTTGTGGTGGACTATAGAATTTTGAACTCGAAAACCAAGCCCACAGCCTTTCCCATGCCCAAGATAGATGACCTGCTCGCAACGGTGAGGAAAGGACGCGTTTTCACAAAGTTGGATCTGCGAGGGCGTACAACCTGATTCGCATACGGGAGGGCGACGAATGGAAGACTGCCATGTTCACGCCCCTGGGCACCTATGAATACAGAGTTATGCCCTTTGGATTACAAAATGGCTCCCACTGTTTTCAAGCCTTCATGCATCACGTATTGGCGGGTCTCCTCTACAAGAAATGCGTCTGCTTCCTGGACGACATCCTGATATTTTCAGAATCAGAGGAGACCCACGAGGGAGACGTCAAGGAAGTTCTGCAGAGACTGCAGGAGCACAGGCTGTACGCCAAGCTGGAGAAGTGCCAGTTCGACATGAAGGAGGTAGATTTCCTGGGCTACAAGTTGTCGGACAAGGGGCTCGCCATGGACAGCGCCAAGGTTCGCTCAGTGTTGGACTGGAAGAGCCCGCGCAATCGGAAGGAGGTCCAGCGGTTTGTCGGTTTCGCCAACTTTTACCGCAAGTTCATCAAGGGGTTCGCGATGCAGACGGCGGCCATTACCGACACGCTCAGCTCCAAGAAGAAGAAGTTCATCTGGACGGAGCAAGCGGAGCAGTCCTTTCAGAAACTCAAGCGTCTCTTCTCGTCCGAAGAGCAGCTACTGCATGTGAATCCCAGCAGACCGATGAGGGTTGAAACGGACGCCTCAGACAGAGCCGTGGGAGCAGTACTGTTGCAGCAAGACCCGCATGGGGACTGGAGACCGTGTGCCTTCTACTCCAGGAAGCTCAGCAAGTCAGAGCAGAACTACACCATCTGGGACAGGGAGTTGCTGGCCATTCATGCAGCATTCAAGGCGTGGCGGCACTTCCTCATTGGAGCCAAACACACAGTGCAGGTCCGCACGGACCATAAAAACCTGGAGTACTGGCGCACGGCAAGGTTCCTGAACCAGAGGCACATACGATGGGCGGAGTTCTTTGCGGATTTCGACTTCAGGATAGAGTACATCCCAGGCGACAACAACATCATGGCGGATGCACTGTCCAGAAAGCCGCAATACCTCGAGGAGGCGGCACCAGCAGCGGCCAAGCACATTTTCGCACCGAAAGCGTGGGCGTGCGCTTCAGCAACCGTGGACCTGGATGCTGTACGTCGAGCACTGCAGGAGGACCCCTTCGCGCAAGCAAAGATGGCAGAGGTGCAAAGGGGCACGGCGGAGGACGACGAGTTCCAGATACGCGACGGATTGCTCATCCGCAGAGGGGCCCTCTACGTACCGGGAGACGACCTCCGCGCGAAAGTACTGCAGCAGTTGCACGACGCACCCACCGCCGGGCACTTTGGCAAAGAGAAGACGGTAGAATTAGTAGCCAGAGATATAAGGTGGCCCAAGATGCGGGGGGAAGTCGCGGATTACGTCTCGAGGTGCGACACCTGCCAAAGGGCCAAGTCAGTGCACAAACCGCCGGCGGGACTGCTCGAACCGCTGCAGACACCGCTCGAACCGTGGGAGAGGGTGGCCCTGGACTTTGTCACGGATCTACCCAGCTCGAGGGGCAAGACGGCAGTGCTAGTGGTGGTGGACATGTTCACCAAAATGGCCCACTTCATTCCGTGCGCGAAGGTGGCCACGGCGGAACAGACCGCCAAACTGTTCATAGACCACGTGTTCAGGGTTCACGGTCTGCCACGGTCTATCCTGTCCGACCGGGGCGACAGTTCATCTCGAACTTCTGGCAGAAGCTGATGGGTTTCCTGAACGTCAAGATCAACCTAGCGTCGGCGAGACACCCGCAGACGAACGGACAAGCGGAGCGAGTCAACGCCATCATGCAGCAGTACCTGCGATGCTACGCAAATCAGCAGCCGGCAACATGGGTGGACTACCTGCCGCTCGCTGAGTTCGCCTACAACAACACGAAGCACGTGTCCACGGGGGTGACACCGTTCTTCGCCAACAACGGGAGGCATCCCAGAACCTTCCCGGGATTAGCGAGAGCGGGGAGGGGGAGCCACAGGCAGCGGAAGCCTTAGCATCAGAGTTGCAGGAGGTTCACGAACAGCTTCGGAGGCAGTTAGAACTAGCAAAGCACGCATACAAACTGCAGGCTGACAAGCACAGAAGGGTTGGGGAAGACATACAGGTGGGAGACTGGGTTTGGTTAGCAGCCCAGGCAGTGCCGGCCAGATCGTTAGCGAAGAAGAAGCTAGGGCATAAGCAGCTAGGACCCTACCAAGTCGAGGCACAGGTCAATCCAGTGGCCTTCCGGTTGACACTGCCGGAGGGATCCAGAATGCACCCAGTTTTCCATAGATCAGTGCTCACGCCCTACAAAGCACCTCATAGATTTCAGGAGCCAGGAACGGCACCAGACCCGTTCAGGGAAACGCCCACAAGGGGGTCGCCAAGGCGGGAACCCGTCAACGAAGTCACAGAGATTTTAGACTCGAGATGGGGGGAAGAGGGAGTAGAATATCTTCTCGCCAGAGAAGGTACCCGGCCAGCGCCAACAGTTGGGTGCCAGACCATGCCTTGGACGAACCTTTTCTCAAGGACGAGTTTCATGCCCTTTTCCCACACAGGCCCATGCCAGCCGAGTATTTCGACGACTGGCTTTTCACACCCACATTTTCAGCTAGCACATTCCAGGGGTTCACCTCGGACGAGGAACCGGCACTAGAAACACGTTCCCCGGAGGGATCACCCTCGGGGTCTGCCTCAGACCGTTCCTATTGGTGGGACAATCGACCAGAGGAGCAGTGGCGCAGGAAGTGGCTGGGGGGTCCTTGGCAGGCAACGTCCCCGGAGGAGACCGGGGAGAGACGGACATGGACGTGTTGGGGGAGGACCTTGGGTTCGAGCACGGCGGCAAAGAGATGGAAGCAGAGGAAATTGAGGTCGGCGAGAGCACGGAGGACGAGCCGGACTTATCCGGCTGGATGCACGCCACGGGGA